ATTATTCTTCTAAGACTAAATATGCAATTGAAACTTGTCCGAGGGTTTTCAAGCTAGAACCACCGAACTCGGGTCAGACATGCAGACTGTTCTTACTCTGTATATTATAATGGGCCAAAAGACTATTCAAACTCTAACTATCAAAATTAACATTTAAACTCCCTTGAGACTCATTCAAACTTCCCGTCTATGTAATAATTCTTAGCAATTAAAACTAATTTAAGCTTCCATTCTACCTAATATTTATCTATCTATCTATCTATCTATCTATAGCCTAGGGCATGCTATCAATCTAAATCATGCTAAAACATTAGCAGTGTGCTAAATCATGCTAACAACATACAAGAAGCATGATAATCATGTTAGAAACATGGTAGCAACATGCAACTATTATCTTGAACTGTTCATTTGTGAAATAAACATTACTTGGACACATTCACTTCTGATAAAGATCACTCTAAATTGTAATGTAGACACATGCGTTTTCTGTAAAGCTGCTTTGAAACAATGTATATTGTGAAAAGTGCTATACAAATAAATTTGAATATACTACTACTACTACTACTACTAATAATAATAATAAGTAGTAGTAGTAGTAGTATAATCACTTGTTTATAATACTAATAATTATACTAACAATACTATACTATTATTATTATGGCCCATTTAATTCAAATTCACAATATTATATAAGCATCTTTGTTTGTGATCTTTGTTTGACTATGGTTACATTTAGAGGAGAACAGTGAGAAAATAATAATCAAACACTATGTGGTACACCATGTTTTCCTCTGGCTTTAGAACATTTCTTAGATTACTTTTTTGAATTTAATTCCAAGGAATTAAAAGAATTTTTGTGGTGCTTGTGAGCAAAAAAACATAGCTACTAAAACGTTTGAAGTTTTAGAAAGAACACTCTCACTTCCACTTTAATATTGCCATCTTGGTTTTGAAGATGGTTCCAGATCAACCAGATCATCTGGTTTTAAGTCTTTGAAGAGGAAAAAGATGAAAACAAATGGATACTCCTCCAAAAAAGAAAAAAATGGGGTGGGTGTTCAAAAAGAGAATGGGCTAAATGACAAAACTAGTGAAGGATAGTTCTGTGTTATGGACTGAATCTTTTCAGTGCTAATCTATCTTGTGGTTCATTGACCACGTGCTACATATTGAAAGTTTAAATCAAATCGACTGGTTTTCCATTAAGTCTGGGAGTCAGTGTCAAAAGGTCAGTGTTTGGATAGTTAGCATGTTCTGTTAGCCCCTGAAACTAGATGCGACTTTCTAAATAACATTGAAACTATGCTGAGTTGGTTATTGTGTGGATGTGCATGTGTGTCTTGTTGTTAAAACCACATATATATTCATCTCACCACAACTGATCGAGGACATTTAGTGACAATGTACAAACATACGTGCACATAAAATGAGATCAATTCAGCTGTATTCCAAAGAGCCATGAAAATTACCACAGCACGTTTTCATATGCTCTGGGGTATATTTTAGTTCAGATTGATAGTCAGCACATTCATTCCTCTTCCCCATCCATCCTATATCGCCAAAAACCCTTTGTGCGCAAAGTTTAGGGCTTTAGGATTTTAAATCAAACTCAATGTTAATCAAAACAATCCCAATTAATTGCAATAATTGCTGAGTAAGACTCATTACCTTATTGTGGCTGGAGGCGAAGTAACCATTATAGTACAAGTCCATAATACATAAAAAATGCTTCCTCCAGTGAAATAGTCCATTCCCTTGTTGTTGTCCATTTGTTTATCCTCTGACATATTTGTTACGAACTGTTTTTGCTTGTAAACGGTGCTTGATCTGTGCATATCTCTCTCCTCATTCAATATTATGGATAGAGGACTGTATTTTAGCTGGAAGTGATTGTTTAAAGTTAAAAATGTCTTAATGATTTTATTATAAACACACAGCTTGTGAATGACCTACTTTACTTGATTACTGTGATGTTCCTATCAGCTGCTTGAACTCTCATTCTGACGGCACCCATTCACTGCAGAGGATCCATTGGTGAGCAAGTGATGTAATGCTAAATTTCTCAAATTCGACTAAGGTTTCAGCAAATTTTTATTTTCCGTTGAACTATCCCATTTAGAAATAATAATTATTTTTTTGTTGCTGTCAGGGATTCATCACAGTCACTTCAGTCACCATCCAGGATAATTACCCGATCACAGTCCTTTATTTCCGTTTTCATGAGGTAAAAAATATTTAGCCACCCACCTAAAACGATAATTGTCCAAATGGGTGGCAAACAAGTGTGGCAACATTTTCAAGTGAACAAAGATTAGTAGTATTACTATTTTAGTCTTTATACATAAAAGTTTAACATTTAATTCAAATGTGTTACTTGCTGATTCTTTGTAATTTTCTGCACCAGTATACAGTATTTTCAGTATATGTCAAGCATCTAATTAACACTCAAATCAGGTTGGATTACTGAACCTCTTGAATATTAATTAAATTAACATTCATTAACCAAGCTAATGCATTTTAATGATAAATTGTGTCCAATTGTGTCTTTGAAAAAAGACCGCATAATGTCTCGCAGTCTTTCGCATGAACACCATGTTTTTAAGATGACTTGTCAAGTTAAAAATAGTTTAAATTTGGAAAGAAACTATCTTGCTCCACTCTATTTCACACACAAGAATGTATTCTGTATCTACAGCTCCTTTTAAAACAACCCAAAACTGAGCATTTTCCTGCCAGTTCTTAGTACTTGGGCAACCATTGTATACACATAAACTAATGCTCAAATAACAAACCAAAGTGTATTTGTGAATGTTCCCGAGGTCCTCCCAGCACGTGTTGGGACCTAAATTGGACACTGGATTGTCGCAGGAAGCTTAATTCTCCCTGGCTGCATTCTTGCTGACACGCCAGGCACGAACCATGCAGTGGCTACTTTGAATGCAGCTGTGAGAAGATTTAAGTAAGCTGTAAAGTCTGCAGAGAGAGAGTTGTTGATTTGTGTGAATGCCTCGCTGACGAAAACAGCCAAGTAAAGTTTTGAGGCTGGCCTGCAATCAATGAGTTTAGGTAAAACGTCTCATAATCTGCAGCCTTATACCAGTCGAAGCTGTTCAGGACCTTGTCACCCCATTTAAAGTCTTTCCGTGATTGTAAAATCATGTCCTTAAAATCCCAATCTGGACTTTAGACCCATTTCCCCACAAACTTTATACCCATCCATACGTCACTGAATTGGCTACAACGTTAAGTTGCATAATAGCAATGTTTTTATGTAAAAAAAAAAAAAGTTGCGGAAAACTGTGACCAAAAAGATTGTTTTGCCATTTGTGGTTATTTGGACACAGTATGTCGGTCTTTAGTTCTGTTGTCAACCCAAACTAATGTTTATATCGTTCTATCTGTCTCTTATACGATCTCCCCTTCTTTCTTTTGGTTGGAAAGCTCATAAAGTCACCGAGAGGCATTTTGAATTTTATAGTCTTTTTTTTCCCTCTAGCTTTGTGGTTTTCGGAGAATGTCCCTGTATTGGATTTGGCAGGGCAAACCTCTCTCTTTTTCTAACTCTGGAAAAGTATAGTAATGCAGTAAAGCATGTATTGATGTTTATTTTTTATAATTTGAGTTGGTGAGATGAGGCAAGTTAAGTGGAGTTTAATGGTAGTCAAATTCCCAGCGGTCAAAGAGACCCAAGTGTTTACAGACCCACCTGAGAGACTGTGTTTAATTGTATTCTCTAGAAATCTATAAAAAATGGTGCTACAACAAAGACAGGCCACAGATGATTAAAAAAGAGACAAACATTCTGTTTTTTATTATTGTAAAATACATACAGAACAAAACTAATCCAGAACAACAACAACAACAACAACAGTTTCATCTTACAAACAAATTCCATGAAAATACGGATAAGCCAGAGAAACTCTGCCAAGGGATTGGCAGGGACAAAACTGTACAAAATATGGGACCCAGACAAGCTCTCTTTGAAGTATTACGATCTTCAAGACTCCTTGAAAGTATTCAGTGGGTTAACACTCAAAAAAAAAAAAAAGTTTTTTTTCAAACTTGTATCGTTTCACAAGCTTAAATGGGAAGGATTTTTAATTCTCTCATAGGTTTCCTGAAAAAATACTCTCTCCATATACATATAAATATATTTGTGCTGTGCAAATTGCAAGTGTAAGGTGGTCCTTACGATCTAGAACCATCAAATATACCAGGACTTACAACTGGAAGACTATAGCCATAGTACAAAGCATCTGAGTGAATGTATGTTTCGTGTGTGTGCATGTAAAGAAAATTATTATGTTCATCCCAACCCGTTGTAAACATAGACGTGTCGTCGTCTTGAGTCCGTTGTGTCTATTCTAGATTGGGTAACCTGACTTGTTGAGCCAGTACAATGTGTTCATAAAAGCAACATAGCGAAGAGTCCCAGCTATACATATCATCTGACATATCAGAGACCTAAACTAATACAGCTGCCTCTGGTGGTACACAAAAGCCCAGGCTGTCTTTAAAACGCTTAATAAAAGCCTGGCCCTTTCTCACTGGAAGAAAGCCAGTGAAGAAACCACAAAGTTTGATAAATAATATTACACAAAATATCAAAATAGTTTCAGGGAGCCAGCTTCCCAATATTTAAACAAGCATTTTTACCTTTGTTTTTTCTTTTTTCTTTTTAATGTTCATCACTTCAATGTATCCCAAGTGTTTTTCTCATAATGAAGTATTTATTTATTTATTTTACTTTGTTCTAATTATTGTATGATAAATAACAAGACGAGGCACTGTTTTGCTATTACATGTCACAAAAGCACTGAAAAGTATTTCCTGACTTTGATCCTGTACACTATTATACATGGTATTAACTTTGGTGACGTAGGCTGAGGAGTGACCAAACTCACCGTCATTGGTGGGGGGAAAACAGTAAAAAAAAAAAAAAAAAAAAAACTAATTGGGAAGTGAACTCATAGGAAGTCTCCACAGCTCCTTTACCAATTATTTTTTCTTACTTTCCTCTACTAGGACTGTTTGTTACATTATCCATTTATTCAACAGATAGGAATTTATCAGCTGAGAGAAATAGTGTGCAAAGAAGAAACACATACCTGAAACGTTCTCGCTTACCCGCGGATCCACTGCAAGAGAAAACAGGGCAAGAATGAGGAGAAATCAGAAATTATGGTTTTGTTTTAGAGCCACCTGGTCGTAGAGACAATCAAAATGATCTGTAGGCTATAGGAAAGTTACTGACACAAATAAACCAACTCTGCATTGGCTATCCATGGGTGGGCAGAGTTCCTTAAGTAAAAAAAAAAAAACTACAATAAATTCCAACAAGCAGAAAATACTGCGCTTTTCCAGTGGATTTTGAACATCCCTTATGAAGAGAGATCAGCTGGCATGAACTAACCTGCCGGATCTGCCAAAGCTATAGGGGAGAGACTGAGCCTCAGGGGCTTTGGCGGTAAGATCTCATCATTCAGTTTTCCTCTATTTCTTTCCCGTCATCGCACATATGGACTCTCTTTCCTTCCTCATTGCCTTTGCCCTGCTTTCCATTCTGTTGCTAGTCTCTTTCTTTATGCAGGCCAGACAAGTTTTAAAACTAAAGCCCCCTCCCATAAAACATGGGGATGATATGAGTCTTTATTTGTTCCTTTTTTATGATATGTTGTTAGTGAGCTTGTAAGACAGGGAAAGGTTGGCTGTGTGACAGCACTCCAGGGGTGCATCTGCAGGCAGTGATAGGGCCAAATGTTGCAACAGTACGGGGACATGCATATATCTCTAAGAGATAAAGGAGAGATCATAACTATTGCCTGACTTGCAGGCAATAGTGCAAACCCATGGCAAAGCAATCTGCAGCTCTTCCCTGGGGATATTTGCATTTTATGCCTAATGTATGACTTTAAAACATGTTATGTTATGTTAATACTGTAATTTGGTCGGGATATGAGAATATGGGAATGATTTATGGTTAAACTATGATTAAAATAAACAAACATTCAGATAGCTCCAGGACATTTCTTTCACATTAAAATGGCATATAATTTAAAGTATGCCTATGACAAGATAAGTTCAAGATTAAATTATTTTTCTAGTTTAAAACACATGTGCCCAAAAATGTACTTTTTGTAGTAATGGATCTGTTTGGCTTTAAAAAGCTTTTATACCATTTCAAGAAATTTAAAATTGAATGACTCCAAAATGTAACCATCTTAAAAATAAATTGAACAATGTGCATGTGAGTGTACACATCTGTAACGCCAAGCCAGCAGAGGGAGCCCTCGCCCGAGTACTGACCGTGCTCCACTCCCTCTGCTTCCTCTACTTCCATTTCCTGTTTGACTCTCATATAAACTGAGACCAGTCCATGTGCTGGTCGCGAAGTATTGCCAGTTCATCTGCCTTACCAAGCGTTATAGTTCCTCTGTTCCTGATTGATTCCTGTGTATGATTCTGCCTGACTTCTTGACTCACGGTATTTGTACTCTGCCCCTTCTGTTCTGACGCGTGATTGGACTGATGTTTGTGTTTGGACTCATTGCCTGCCTTTCCACTATTGTCTCTGCCTCTGCCCCTGTGTATGACGAACGATCTGCCTGCTTCTCTGACTTTGACCCTCTGCCTGATTATCGACATCTGTTTAAAGCCTTGACCTTTAATAAACTTCCGCTCATGGATTCTAACCAAACTCCAGCGTCTCTGTTACAGAATACTTCGCTTCCTATGAATCCAGCGGAAGTGTTGAACCTGCAAACAGTGTTCTCATGCCAAGCTGAAATGCTCCAGAGATATCAGGAACAACTCACCAAGCTGCAGACCGTCAACGAACCCATTACCGATTCCTCAACGACCATGGTCTCATCTATCTATCGATTTCATCACTGACCTCCCACCATCCGATCATCACACTACTATACTGATTATCATCGACCGTTTCTCGAAGTCCTGCCGTCTCATTCCACTACCTCTCTGTTACAACATCTCAAGTTTTTAAATACACTTTTTTTTAAATAAAGCACCACATTACATTTTTTGATCACACTATTTTTTTTTTCTAAGAAGTAATTCTTCAAGAAAAGAAAAGAAAATGCATTACCTGACTCTGTGTTGAAGGTCACTGGTTCGCTGTGGGGCCCTTCTCCGAGTTCATTCTTGGGCTTCACCTTGAATTCATAACTGTAAGGTAAGATAAAGACAGGTAATGGGACATTACGTTTCTGCTTTGATCCACATAAAACCATTAGGTATATTCATTTCAGTTCCAATGCTATGCCCCTGACACAGCAGCGAGTCTGCTTAATTCAAAATTATTTAAAAAGGATTTCTGTATTGGTAACCTTGTGGGATGTTGTCAAATTCAGAGCAAAATGAGGTTCTTATTTCCCGTCTTCTGAGCCCTGACACTTGATATATTTATTCTGCAGTCTGAAGACTCACAAGTCTGTGGCCCCCTTTAATGGATTCTCCATGTGTGATGTAGAGACATTACCAAGGCCCACGTGCCTCGAGATGCAGTCCATAGGAAGCACTGGTTTATATTGTGTCGCCAGATCTTGAGCCTATATTCAGCTTCATTAAAAAGCTAGCAAGTGTGGTGGCTCCCCTACAGCCAGACCACAGAGCACATGTCCAACACTTTGTCCAGACCTCAGGATGCGTGTAAGTCCTAACACCCCTGGTATTTGACACCCACATCAACTAAAATACATCTATCAAATTCAGCAGGGTTCCTTAAATAGAGAGGTTGGAGTTCTGCATTTAGACTGTACCTGCTCTCTGGTTTGAGGTTCTCCACAGCTGTATGAGTCTGGTTGGTGGTCAGAATGGAAACCTGTTCACCATCAGGACCTTTAGTAGTTGAGATAACCTCGTATTCTGTGAAAAAAAGATAAATGAAAAGGAAATGGATTTGGGACTGACTGATCAAAGTTCAGGGTTAATTGACTGATTAAAGTTTACCAATCAAAGTTGAGGGTTAGTGTTTGACCAATTAAAGTCAGGATTTAGTGTTTGACCAAACAAAGTCATCTTGTGTTAGTGTTTGACTGATCAAAGTTGACCAATGTAAATGGGTTAGTATTTGACCGCTGAATGTTGAGAGTTAGTGTTTGACTCAGATTTTGGGGTTAGAGTCTGAATCAACAAAGTTGAGGGTTAGTGTTTGACTAATCAAAGTTCACAAATCAAAGTAGAGGGTTAGTTTTTGACCAATAGAAATCAAGAGTTAGTGTTTGACTCATAAAGGTTTAGGGTTATAGTATTAGAACAAAGTTGATCAATCAAACTAGAGGGTTAGTTTTTGATCAACTCAAAATAGAGGAATGGTGTTTGACTGGTCAAAGTTGACCAATCAAAGAAGAAGTTTAGAGTTTAATAGATCAAATTAGAAGTTAAGTGTTTGACTGATCAATATCGAAAGTTAATGTTTGATCGATCAAAATCAAGAGTGTTTGAGTGACCTAGTTTTGACTGATTAAAGTTGACCAATCAAAGTTGAGGGTTAGTGTTTGACCGATCACATTCGAGATTTGGTGTTTGACCAAACACAGTTTACGTGGGTTAGTGTTTGATCAAATTCACCAAAGTAGAGGGTTAGTATTTGACAGCTTAATGTTGAGGATTAGTGTTTGACTGACTCAGATTTGAGGGTTTTTTTAGTGTTTGACTCAAAGTTGAGGGTTTGTGTTTGATCACTCAAAATTGAGGGTTAGTGTTTGACAAAACAAAGTTCACAAATAAAAAGGTTTATTGTTTGACCGATCAAAATCGAGAGTTATTGTTCGACTCAAAAGTTTAGGGTTAGTGTTTTACTGAAGTAGAGGTTTAGTATTTGAACAAAGTTGACCAATCAAAGTAGAAGGTTAGTGTTTGATCGACTCAAAGTAGAGGACTAGTGTTTGACTGATAAGTATTGAAAGGTAGTGTTTGACTAGTAGAAGGTAAGAGTTTGATCAATCAAAATCGAGAGTGTTTGAGTGACCCAAAGTAGAGGGTTAGTGTTTGACTTATCAAAGTTGACCAGTCAAAGTAGAGAGTTAGTATTCAACTGATCATAGTTGAGAATTAGTGTTTTACTCACTCAGTGTTATAGTCACTCACTCACCTAGTAGAGTTTTTGACTGATCAAAGCTGACCAGTCAAGGTACAGGGTAAGTGTTTGACGGATTAAGGTCAAGGGATAGTGTTTGACCAAAGTCAAGGTTTTGTATTAATCAAAGTAGAACGTTAGTATTTGATAGATCAAAGTCAATGGTTAGTGTTTGACTGACTCGAAATAGATGGTCAGTGTTTGATTGATCAAAGGCAATGGTTTTTGAGTCATACCCTAAACTTTGACTTTGATGAATCAAAGACAAGGATCAATTTAATTTTAACACCACAATATATCAAACATTATATTCCTCAGATATAAACCAATAGATATTAGACCATGGTTTTCCTTTCACAATTCATCCCTCAATCCTACCTGTCGTCTCATTATCTGTTTTCTCCCAATCAAGAATAATGAAGGAGGGGCATCCTTCCACGGTTACAACAGTGAGGTTGGATGGGGCTGTTCTTGGAGGATTGGTGACATTTTGTTCTCCAGCCTCCTCCTCAGGGAAGTAACTCAGAGAGGTGGTGATGGAGCAGGGTTCACCTGGTTTCTTATCCGTCTTATAGACAACATGTGGAGCTGGACAATAACATATTTGTGTTTAAATTCAGACTCCACTTTGAATGATGCAAATTTGAGTTTCAGAGCCAAAGCAGAGTCCTTGGCATGCATGGCTACAGCAGTTAAGAAAGTCTTATTACCAATGTAGCGTTCTTTGCCCATGGCATCAACTTTAGAAGCAGGAACAGAGCTGAATACTGAAGAGTTCTCCCATGTCTCAAATCGGGGTGCTAAGACGCCAAACATATGAACAAACAGTGTCGACTATATCAAAACTATGGTTAACAGATTGTTTCAACCAGCATATTTTTATACATCATGTAAAAATGTATTCAAAAGATGTTTAACCTTCAGCAGAACATTGAAGAATAATACAAAACATCACATAAAGACAAACCTGTCACTGTGGGAGATGTTGTTGTCTTTGGTTTGGATGGTTTTGCTGTTACAAGTGGCAGCTTGGGTTTCAAGATTAAAGCTTTGTCCTGATTCAGGTCTGTTATCTTGTCTGCTTTTTACATAACAAGTGAATACATGAAATGTTTTAAACAGCATCTTCCCAAGTCGTTTAATGTTAATTGGCAGAAAAGTATATCAAAACACATTTTTACATTCACATTTTTGTAGTTTTAATTTTGCAGATTATGGGGTTCCAAGAGATGGACAAAAGTATTTTATCTTTTAAGTTTAATTAACATTTTACCCACCTAATCTTCCAGGTTTGTCAACAAGATTAGGCTTTTCTGCTGGAATAGGAAGGTGTGCAGCGGGAGAACCTGTAATGATGGAAGCAAAAGTCGTGAAGTGAAATCCTTCCAGATTCAGATATCCTACTGTCCCATTTCCTTCATCTGTTTCCACTATGAACTAACAAGGACACGGTAAGTCAAAAATGGCACCAAAAGCACTGTAACAGGTCAAAAGTAGCAACCACACATTCTCATAATATTCACACACCTTCATCATGTTCTCTTAACTTATGATTTAAGTTTTATAAAAAAACAGTGGAAGACATCACTACCACTGCTGTTGAATTTTCACATTTTAGTGACGAACCTAAAATGTGTGCCTTGAAAATACCTGTTGTTAAATAACCATGTCTGTTATAGTGTCAAATATCTAACAATCAAGTAATACATTCAACTTAAACAGCAGAAAGTTTTTAACTTAACTCAAAATATGGAACAAAAGATGAAATGCCCTCATTCTGAACCACAATGTGGTCAAACATAAAATATCCTAAGACGAAAACACAGGTTTTCAAATCTTTGCCCTGATCTATGGAAACTGAAGTATCCCATACTCTAAATAATAAAATTGAACATAATTCTTGTTTACTTTTGAGAACCTGCAATTTGGATGCTTTACTAAACGAGAATAACAAATTGAGAGGTCAAACTCACTTGTGAAGTTAACGGCAAATTTAATCAAATTCCCTGTTTTCTTTCTGATTGCATGGATGAAGTCTAAACATTGGCACTTCAACTGCCTTTCAAGCCTTCAGTTCTCAATGCCATCTTGCAGTCGAGCCAAAAGCAAACAGGCTAGAGCAAGTGGACTCTTCCCAGGAAAACTGATTCAGTTTACATCCAAGGCACCAATTGTGAAACCTTCAGTTCATCACAGGCCAATCAAAAGAAGCTCAGCTCACTAAACCCTGTGGTACAAGTCAAAACTGCAAATCTGGGTGGCGAAAAAGTTTACTAAGGACTAACAGATGTCATACTTTTGCAGAGGGAATGTCATTTCCAGAGAGCTAGCCGAGATTTTTGGTGGTGATGCCCGATGTTTTGGGTGATCTTAAACTGTTGTGGTTAGACGATTTCAGGCAGTCACTGTTAAACAAATCTGCCGTAGTACCTCTCTTCAAAGAAAGCCAGCTAGCCATGATCTCCTCAGATCTCCAACTATTGGTCAGTATAAGAAAATTCATGTCAACGGTTTGTGCTAATTTTGTTGTATTCCTCTGTTTTTGCACAAGCTGTAAGTAATAAATTGTGACAATCATTTTGCAGACCTTATATTGTCCGTCATTTGTTTTATTTGTGTAGATTTTGTACTGATCACGGCAGCAGTAATTCATCAAATTATCAAATAATAGGGAATAGTGGTACAAATCCAGACAAATATCCAGATGTTTAATGTAGTTAAACATCCTATTGGAAATTTTAAGTGCCACTTCAGTATCTGAACTGCAGTGGTGCTGTACAGTCTTTACAAAGTATGCCAGATTGCGGAAGTCTGCTGCATTTTCCAAAACCAAGTCTAGTCAGAACCAATATGCATATTTTGTGGCTGTTTTTCTGCTGATACCTTATTTCTATGATTTTGTTAGTCATCTGGGCACTAAATCAATTCTGTTGTGGAATTGCTGCTAGTGAAATTCTGTTCATAATGCTAATGCAATTCTCGGTAAGCTGCCCTCCAGCGTCTTTTGCCATGTTAACTTTGTTCAAAAGAACAGTAATGAGAATTAATAGTTAATGGATAAATACTATAAATTCAGGCTATTTTTGTTTGTGCTACACAGACAAACAATATGGCAGACTAAAAAGCCCTCATACCACACGGAAGCTCAAGAATACATCACAGCATGCAAGTTGTCATGCACACAATGCACTTTAACCAGAAGCAGCTACAGTCCTCTGCAGAAGTTTAAAATATTATTGCTGAAATGCACAAATAAAAGAGCCACAGAATGTTACGAGACAGTTTATGACAATGCGGTGGGTTTCTGTGTCCTCCAAAATACATGTTTTCTCTTGAAAATAAATGTCCTACAGCACCATGATGTTTTAGAAATTAAAGGAACCAATCTTGGGAAAAGCTTTGACGATTAGACCATAAAGCTTGTGGCAGCACGGGATCTGCAGAAGCTTGCAAAACGACAACAAATGTCAAAGGCAACATGGCAGATTTGCGAGCAAATGGCTTGACTGGTGAATGAATGGATGGACAGACATGAGTTTACAAGAGATTATGGATGGGAAGGACATCAGCATGGACACATGGGCTGCGTCACAAACAGATTTTCTGCAGGTTAATGATGGCTAACACACATAGAGGACGAGTTGGTTCTGTTTACCCATGCTTGCTGTGGACCACATGACTGGTTTGGGGAGAGAAAGTCCCTTATGGTGCTCACCGTTAGCTGTTGGAGGGGAAAAGAGTGGGTGTTATAGAGAAAAGGAAGGCTAAGGTAGCATCATATTGTTGTTTTGCTGAGGTGCACAGCAGCTGAAGAAAACTGGGGGTTTACATAGAGTTATAGGCTGCCGTTCAGCTGCCTGAGGGGAAGAGAAGGCTTTCAAGATCAGATTAGTGCAAATGTTGGCGGTCTGAGTGCCCATCGGGCTAAATCGCATATATTTCACTGACAGTAAAACTGTCAGGTGTGACAGAGTATGATGGCCAGCTTGCACACACACCACATGTTGCAAAGGAGAAAATTTGGCTCTTGAAGAGAAACTGCCCCAAGAGAACTGCAACCAAAATAACTTAGCTAAAAGGGGAGGGTAAATAGTTGACATGGGAGAACAAAGAGGGGGAAAAATATTTTCTTAAGTATTTTAAGTTGTTTTCCAGTAAAAAAAAAGAAAAACTTAAATAAATAAATAAAACTCATAATAAAAAAGAAAAAGCAGAAAAGAAAAAGAGTAAAAGAAAGAAAAAGACTGGAGTAAGAGGGGTAAGAGTAATGAATTTTACCCCCATATCTTCTGGAGGAGGCACCAAACCTGGGGGAAGAAGGTCTCATGCCATTAGAGAGAGAGATATTGTATCTGCCCAGTGACGTCTGGTTCCTGGTGGTCACTGTTTGGACTGAATCGACAGGTTTGGGTGGAAGAGAAGAGATGGAGTCTCTCCGGATGCTCTTACCTAGATTAAAAAACAACAGCAACAGCTTTGGTTACTCTGGGAAGCATTGCATGCTGAGGCAGGTACTGTACAATCATGTAAGGGCTGCTATGTGTTAAAAAGATTTGCCATCTGCAGGCTGATGAGAGATGTCAAAGTTAGCTAGTCGTGTTTCGGGTAACAATTATGATATCTAAATTGAACTAAAAGTACCAGTACAGTATAATCACCACAAGAACAATGCAAGAGCTCCTTTTCAAAAAACAAGTGATCTGCCTTGCTGCCTATATGCAGCATCCTAACTGAAATCACCCTCTTACGTGAATGATTTGGAACGCTTTCTGTAGGTAGCAACTCAAAATATTGCTCCTCACGTGGAGTACGCAAGAGACTTGGCTTACAGTTACAATGTCAATAGTTTTGTGTTAGCATGTTGCTAAGCTAACAGCGCAACATTTTCAATAAGCATAAACATTTACAACACTTGGTAATATTGTATAACATTGTTTAAGTTAGTTCATTCATAATTACATTTTTATTGATACTTTTTGGTACTGGAAGAATTATATCTATAATTACAATTTTGCACACTTTATTCGCCACCTTGAATGGATTTTTTTTACTGAACATATATAGCAATGCATCATGGGATTGGCTTTCCTACATTGGATGCATGTGATAATCATGTTATGTGTATTTTGGAAAACCTATGATGCCTGACAATAAGTCTAAGTAGGCAGCTTCCAAGGTTTGAAACAGAAACTATCGTTTATAGAAAAACTGAATGATGTGTGAATTTAACAATAAATAATGTCTGTTCTGACTGCAGTAAGACTAAATCTGATGTGCTGATGATTGCAGTAAAGTGCAGCAGTGCATTCCTGTCCTGTGAAGACAAAACATTGTGTAGGGGAGGATACAGGAAAGCTGATTTCAGACAATAACACAGACATGATATACACCGATGGGACAGTTGTGATAGCTTGCCTGACAGAGCAAATAAATGAGAAGATTATGTGAACTGATGTCACCGGTTCTTGCTGTTTTTATTGGCGGTCTTGCTCACATAGACTACAGACAGCTCTTCCTGTAATCCATTGAGCTGGAGTGTGAAATAATGTCTGTTTGTGGCTGAAGTTACCAAATTACTTCGTTTGATTGAAACACGGTTTGAACAACCATTAATTTCCTGCGTATTACTTTTCTCCAAAACCACCTCAAAAAGTGGAGAATTAATTTAATAAAGCATTGAAGTCTGATATTCTGGTGTTTAGACTAAGTTTGCAGTGGTAGAATGCAAAGCCAAAGGTTGAACGGCAAATTGCAAAATAAAATACTCAAGTATCTGTGTGGTAAATAGTGACTCGCTGAAGCAATATGTTATTTTCTCATTACCTGTCAACCATCAGATCCTGAAAGTAGTATTTTTTTAAAGAACTTTAAAAAAGAACAAGAAGAAAACATAGGAATTACCAGAGGAACTATGTGGCATCTGAGTGGCACTAGGTGCCCTGGTTTGGGGGTGTCCATGTGGGGGTGTCCGGGCACTGCTGGGTAAGGAATAAGGGGTAGGGGTGACTGAAGGATGGGAGGGCTTAGTGGATAGGAGTTGGGGAAGGATGGGCGGGATCTCCACCAGCTGAGAGGAGTCATTTCTAACATGACTGTTTGAATCTGTTCAAGAGAAATGAGCAGGTGAGCTCTCCATGCTGGAAAAACCAAGTAATTACACATCAAGGTGGTCTAGTTGGTCAACCAGTTGAAGATGGAACATGGTTAATCGGATCAGCAGCTTAGGCAAAGTGGTCTAGCTGCTCAAACCAGGTTAATCAGAGGTCCCACCAGGTGGTAGGACAACTGATAATCCATCTAGAATCCATCTAGCTTGTACCAACAGTTTGGACCACCTTAAACTGGTTTTATCTGGATTTTCCAGCAGGACTGATTATTGAGACCATGACTGGAGAAGATTCCCAAGAAGGTGGACTGTACACTCCTAAAAATAAAGTATCCAAAGGGGTAAGGTAGAGGTTCGCAGTGATGTCATAGTAGGTTTTCCAAAGACCCTTTCAGTGAGTAATTCTTAAAAGAACCATGTTTTTTTTTTTCTTAGTGTGAAGGACATTATAAAAATAAAACATTTTTCACTATCAAGAACCTTTTGTGGAATGGAAAGTTTCCATGGAGGTTACAGATTCTACATGGAACCATCAATGCTAATAATCTTTATTTTTAAGAGTGTTTTATAAATAATGTTTGATAGTAAACACATTTGTAACAATTACTGAGTTCCATCCCATTGATTCCTGATGGTACGGATGTTTAAGTGCCTGTTACCAACATTTGTTCTGATGATTTTATCAGGGGGGTTGAGAATGAACTTGTTGACTTTGGTCTCATAATCAGTTTGGCTCCAAGTGGAAAAGCACAGAGAAAGTTGTACTGTTATCTTATCCAGAGTTCAGAGACAGAGGAAGCCAGGAAAGGAGGTGGGACTCCCAGAACTCTGCCTTTCCCTGCTAGAACTGTCATGGGACTGATTCTTTCTCTGCGTGCAGTGACTTCATGCATACTGAATGAAAGTGCAAAAACGCTGAAAATGAATGAAAGGGTTGATGAAATCAGAAAAAGAGATGGTTTCGAAGCTCAGATGATAGAAAACAAGATGAGGTTCAGAAAAAGAGGCTAAACTGTGAAACTATGAAAAAGGCCACGTTGATACTAAAATAAAACAAATGTAATGATACTAGTCTTTCTACAAAATTGGTAATACCACATACTGACTCAAATAATGACTGACAAATGGAACTTTACAAAAAATTTACTCTGCCATTACCATGGTGCAGTGATGGCATTACATTACAACACTATGGTACACTGATATTTACAAACGTTCTCTTTTGGTAACCATGTTTAAATAGCATATTACCATAAATCATGGTCATATTATTTTTATTTAGTGGGATAAGCTTTAATTGAGACATAATTTGCTGTTATACCACTACATACTGTATAAACAAAGGATTCATAGTGACACAGAGGGACAAAGAGGAAAAAGGACAGCAACAAAGACAGAGTGCCATTTATGACCACAGTAATAAAACAGATGGGGGACTGAGGAAACCAAACATTTATAACAGTTATGATGTGATTGACAGGTGATGAAATGATAGGGGACTGGATGGACAGAGATGAGCGTGACAGGGAAAGAGCTGATTGGTGGACACAGAGAGTCTGACTGGTGCTGATGGGTGGAGCGTGAGCAGGCCTACAGAAATCGCGCCAATGCGTGACCATGCGTGACCACAGAGGGGCTTTCGCTGTGCAGCACCCTGGGAAAACTTACACTCCACTTCCTCCTCACTGTGGAGGCGACCGGTCAGGAATCCTCATCACGGTGGAATCGGGACTTTCTAACTCAACGTTCTTACAAGGCATGCCAGCATGCAGCCAATCATAACAGTGAATGTCTTTAATCCCCACCCATGCCCAGCAAAGCGATTACCAACTGACTGCTCATAAGCAGAGTGATTTAAAACAAAACATCTCTCGGTTACCGAATGGGAGCTGAGGCCATTTTGGCTCATTGGCTCTTGGAGCAGCCACAGTTCCTTGCTGGCCCATTGGTGGCGCTGTGGGAAATAATGCAATGTTTTTTGTAAATGGAAAAAAAAAAAATGAGAGAAAAAATGAACAGGCATCCCCAACAAGGCTCTTGAGAGGGAGAAAGTATTAAATGTCTTTACTGTGACTTCAAATGCCAGTTTAAGGCAAATGACTGGAATAAAACCAAATCCTGCATGAAAGAAGAGTGCAGAGAGAGTGAGAGGGAAAATTACCAAAAGATGTCTTGCGACCTCCATTAACGCCTGTGTTTTTGGGCAGTCCTGGCTGGCTTATGTTGTGGAGAGCTAGAAAGAAGATTGCGAAGGAAGAAACCAACAGAAAATGCTTTCAAGCAGATCTCCACAGAAAAAAAATAAAATAAATAAATAAATAAATAAAGTACTGAATGCCATTCATTTTACACATGGACCAAAACACAGAATAAAAGAAAAAATATTCACCCAAAAATGAACAATTTGTGATGATTTACTCTTACTAACTTAAACAAGTAACCATACAGCATACAGTGACCAGGATTTGTCAAGCTACAAAAAAGGCTGTCAAGGTTTAAAAATGACAAAAAGCTCTTGCTGGCCCATTGGTGGCGCTGTGGGAAATAATGCAATGTTTTTTGTAAATGGAAAAAAAAAAAATGAGAGAAAAAATGAACAGGCATCCCCAACAAGGCTCTTGAGAGGGAGAAAGTATTAAATGTCTTTACTGTGACTTCAAATGCCAGTTTAAGGCAAATGACTGGAATAAAACCAAATCCTGCATGAAAGAAGAGTGCAGAGAGAGTGAGAGGGAAAATTACCAAAAGATGTCTTGGGACCTCCATTAACGCCTGTGTTTTTGGGCAGTCCTGGCTGGCTTATGTTGTGGAGAGCTAGAAAGAAGATTGCGAAGGAAGAAACCAACAGAAAATGCTTTCAAGCAGATCTCCACAGAAAAAAAATAAAATAAATAAATAAATAAATAAAGTACTGAATGCCATTCATTTTACACATGGACCAAAACACAGAATAAAAGAAAAAATATTCACCCAAAAATGAACAATTTGTGATGATTTACTCTTACTAACTTAAACAAGTAACCATACAGCATACAGTGACCAGGATTTGTCAAGCTACAAAAAAGGCTGTCAAGGTTTAAAAATGACAAAAAGCTCCCTAAAAACCCCTAAAAAGTCTAGCAACACTGCCTCAACCAATGTTGTGGGTTTGGGTGGAGTTATCTGTTTATTTGACCAATGGCAGAAGTGACAGTTCACCGTTAACTTTCAGTATGCTCCACACTCAAAAGCTACCTGACCTCTTCAGATGTCCCAAAACTACTTTTCTTGATACCTTTTAGGTGCTTTGTTGTCATTTGACAAGTTTGACAGCCCTTTGTCACTATATGCTTCAACTGTATGGAAAAGAACAGTGTGCTATTGTCAAGTTATTTGTGATCTACAGCAGGTAGTAAGTCAAGCGGGTTTGGGATGACATGAGGGTGAGTAAATGATGACAGAATTCGCTTGTTTTCTTTACTACATATGGGGCAATTCTTAACAGTAATAGTTGATGGTCTTACCATGTCGAGGTGGGAACAGACTGCTGTGGGGTCCAGCCTGTAAAAAGAGGGTTACACACAATTTTTTCCTTCCCTCTTTAAAAAAAGAAGTGTAGAGTGAAAGAACACAGAACCGCTTTCGGTCTTCATATCATGTAAAGGAGCTCTGTAATCAGGGTCTCTCCACCATGTCTAAAGTGTTCCTGAAATGCCCTGACAGGCATGTATTATTTCCAGTCTCCACTGAGAAAATCAAGCCCCTTACACACATACTTAAGCCAACAACTGGATTCTTGACTCAAGATTGAGAATATGTGAGAAAGAGTTTCCTCGCAGACAAATTTCTTTGTGTCCATGACAGTTTAAAAATAGACCATGATGGACAAGAAACTAGGAAAGGCAACTCTGGCAAAGCATGGTGCGAGACCAGCTAAACCATCCTAAACCAGCTTAGACTGACAACCCAGGCTGGTTTAAACTGGAACACTAAAAGTGGTGCGTGGCATGTGGTTTTGCCTGTTAAAGTTGTAAGTCCTCTATACTACAGTATATACAGCAAGTTGACATGAAACAACACTACATACCAAAGTCTTGACAAGGGGTCGGGTGGGCTTGTAGGTTATCTGCATGTTTTTGCCTGAAAACAAAATGGTAGCAGTGCAAGTTACACTTGATCATGTTCCAGTTTATCAGCCAAAATAACTTTGAATTTATGTTTAGGGTATCCGTTACCTCCCATGTTGGTGTTGTGGATCACTGGTTTGCTCCACATTCCACTACGGTCGTCTTTGTTGGATCGGATGCCAAATTCATAGGGTGTGTTGGGCTTGAGGTTGTCGATCACAGTATCGGAGGTGGGGCAGGTCTGGTAGATCCACTTCCTGTTTCTTTCTCTATAGCGGATGGTGTAATGCCTGGTTCAAAGACACATTGCTTATTTAAGTACTGTATCTAGTATACAAAAGGTTCAAGAGTCATTTCTACACCCTAGTTTTGGCTAGTTATAATAAGTCATCAAATGATGCATGTTGGAGGTCCCACATTTTTAGTAAACTGGTTTTTTGTCACCATAACAGTGACCAGGCGTTAAACAGAGGGGCTTATGTTAGGTTTAAGAAGAGTACTGGTCCCCAACTGTTTTGGTCCAGGTCAACATTTCCAATGGCCTTTCCAAAAGTCTCCCTTTATTGAAGAAAAAAGTTCACATACTTCTGCATATGAAAACCAGAACGAGTTAGGGAGGCTGGGAGTATGTCAGTGCGTCCCAACAGTGCATGTATCCTCAAAAAGCATTTAAACATAGACACATCACACCTGCAGTGGCAGGTTTCCATATCCCACACATTTTTTTCCTCTGTGTAGAAAAACATTGCACTCATTGAATGGGTCTCTCGGTTATGCGACATAAATCCAGCCTCTTGCAGTGCAGTGAAAACATTGAAGAAAAACCTGCACTGCACTGTAAGGCTTCTGAGGACAGGACGCCTAAATACTAGAGACAGGGTGCCATGATATTTCATTATATTTTTTCCCCATGTTTTTCAGGTTAAATGGTCCCTAAATATGAAGTGAAGTAAATTAAGTCTTCCTTTTGTGATTTAGGACACTCATATGGAACATCTTGGTGGAGGAAAAAAGTAAAATCCAGATGTTGTGTCTGTAACTCACCCATCCTCCAAGCAGTCATTCATGATGTTTCCATCGTAGGGCGTCTTTAAGTAGGTTCCCCAGGACAGAAGCACAGATGTCGGCGTGACAGAATCGATCACCAGGTGAAGAGGTTTGTCCAGGTTCACCTTACCTGTTTCAAGCACAGGTTTATTCAAAGTTATGAGAAGCCAATGCTAACTGAAGGTCTTCAAAGATTCCCAGCTACCAGGTACTTGGGTTCAGCATCTGTGAAAGCAGGCATCTCAAGTTATTTAAGGGTTCAAACAAAACCATAAAAAAGGGCAATTTCATGGTGCAGTGCAAGTTACTTTCATGAACTTCCATCCAACATGAAGGAAATAACCAAAAAACAAGAAAAGAAATGTAAAGCCTACAACACATGTCAACAAAAGTTGACCCCTGAAGACTCTCATGACTGTGTGTCAATGTCAATAAGTCTCATAAAATCAGATTTTTTGACCTTTTATGACAGTGGTTCCCAATCCTGGTCCTGGAGAACCCCCAACACCGCATATTTTAGATGTCTCCCTAATCAAACACACCTAATTCAACTCATCGGCTCATTAGTAAAGACTCCAAGACCTCAAGATGTGTCTGTTAGACAAGAGAGACGTCAAAAATGTGCAGTGTTGGGTGTTCTCCTGGACCAGGATTGGGAATCACTGTTTTATGACATGGCAAGTTTAGGTTGTAAAAAATACATTTACTTTGACAAATATATTTGAAAATGACTAAGATATTTACACATTAAAAGTATTAGGGAAAAGTTTTGTTTGTTACACCACGAGTCATTAAATTTAACATTTTGTTAAAATGGTATAAAAAAATTTTTCTAATTATTACATGTGGTTTAAGCTAGATTTGTTTAATCGTCTTTTCTGTATCAAGAACACTCTTATTGTCACTGGCCCACAATTCTGAACGTTTCTGGTGAACTTTTGTTTAGTAAAATGTCTTGAGTTGTTTAATGTGAAGCTTTTCACTTATAGCTCTGTGATGACAAAGGTTTGCTAAACATCCGTGTCTCCACTGTAACAGAATTAAACCGCACATTTGCCAAAATTTGATTTGTTGGGTAGATAAGTTTGTAATTTATGCCTTTCTAACAGTTATGAATATGTACACAGGGAAACTCATTTAGGCAAAAAAGCCCATTAGACTGATGGGCCAGTACCAAAGTCCACAAAAGTCTGGACATTTATAAGTGTATGTGCGTGTGGCATGTCAAGTTGGGAAAACGCCAATAACTGCTTTCGCCTTTTGACCATCTGTTGTGCACGTGTATCATATTGAAATCTCAGCACACACTGTAAATTACTGGCTCCATAACACATCTGTTGTGTATTTCCCACTAAATATACCCTGTCATGGACTATTTAGATTTTTAATCCATTGTCAATACTTTTCTTTATATATATATATATATATATATGTGCACGTGTATCATATTGAAATCTCAGCACACACTGTAAATTCAAGTGAAATTATCCTTCAGCCTGCAGCCAATATTGAAAAATGATGTGACTGTATGTTCCTGTGTTGGACTGTGTAGGTAAAGAAGCCAAAAACTTAGAGGCCCTTCCTTTTCGAACAAATAATGCTTTGTTTGCAAGCTTCTGGATAAGCGCATAAGCGTCAATGTGTAATTATTTTTATATTTGCGTAAGTGCTTTCCATTGAGCTGAACCTCAAAGGCCTCGACTTAAAGGTTGTCCACTTCAATCTTAAATCTTAAAAAAGAGATATGCATGTATGTATTGTTTGCAGTCAACACAAATGACCAGAATTGCATTTTCTAGGATTTTAAAATTCTGTCCGACACTGATAAGCTATTAATTATTTACACGTCATTGCTGTAAACAGATAAGTGGCCGATGTTAAAATTCTACAAATAACAAATACTTATTTTCATGTTATGACTGATAACTGATAAATAGCCAATATACAAATTCTACACAACGTTTATAATAATTTTCATGTTATAGCCGATAACCAATAAATAGCCAATAGTAAAATTCCATCCAATTTTGTTAAAATAAAACACCAAAACTAAAATCATTGTTTTAATTGCTATAAGTACACTTACATATCACAACATTATAATGTACAATATGAAAATGGATATTCATATTGAGATTTGCTAAAAGTTACTTAAAAGTATTTTTTTTTTTTGTAACTTAAAAGTTCATGTTAAATGACAGCAAATTTAATCTAAATTGTAAACATTAGAGAAGTGTATATGAACAATTAACTATCCAATATCGGCCAATACCGGATTTAAACAAAAATCTCTAATTTCGACCAATAACCAATATGGTATTGTTAAATCCAGAGAAATCCACAAGCAACTGCACTCTGTTATATCTGCAAAAGCAAAATGAAGCACCTGGCATGGGCCAATTTTTTAAGAACTAAAATTAGCTTTAGGGTCCCTATGACCTGACCCTAACCTCCTCAGAATGAACTCTGAGATTGTAGCTCCTGGGAAAGTGATGATGTATGGACAACAGGAAGTTATGTTACAGACAAAAAAGTGGTTAGTGTTCTTGGGAGTAATATGTGACCTTTTTACCTTGTCAAGCGTGATGTGTGGCTTTTTGGTGATGACAAATAATGTGGTTACCAAACCTTTAACAAATAGCATTCATTTGGGATTCAATTACAGTTTGTGTTTTCAAATAATGGAAGAGTTGGCGCAAACATAGGTGTGCAAATCAAGACAGTGGTTTCAATGGGTCAAGGAATCAACATTTGTGGTTACTACTCCACTCCCATGCTAACCCACAAAACAACATTAATGATTGCTTCGGGCTCTTAAGTGAAATAATGGCTGCCTGTGGTTAAACTCGAACTTACCAATCTCGGTCTCATAGGGTTCCCCATTTTCTGGAAGTTGAATGAACTGTTTGGAGAACATGCTGGAACCATATCCTAAAATGTAGCCTTCAAGTTTGATGTCAGGGTTGGGTCGAACGAACTTCAGAACTATGGTATCCCCGGTCGCATTGATTCGAACCTTCATATTCTGTCTTCTTACTGCGAAAAGGAAGTGTTTGAAATACATTTAATTGGGTTAAGAAACAGTGCTGCAGCTCTTCAAACGTTCTGTGTTTCTGTGTTTGACATTCAATGGCAGTAGAGAGGAACTGCACAAAAAGAGTGACTTTGAGAACACCGCAATGAATAAATGATTAATTACTTAAAGAGTAAGTCTTTATGTTTCCCATGTGTTGGATGGGGTTTGTTGATTTATGAGGCCAAAGGGGGACTGAGGAGCGCTCTTTTGAGGAGCACAAAATTGTGTGCCATGAAAATCATCATTGAGGTAAATCAAGGACAATGGCTTTCACAGTTCCTCATCACTTCACTCAAAGCAGAGTAGCATATGGACCTCCAATATTATGCACTAGTTACGCAGCATTACATTCAGAGGAATTATGAGCCTTTGAGGCTTTGTACAGTTTCAGGAATTTGACACAGTCACACATTTAAAGTGATCGGATCGTTATCTTTTCAATCCCGCGCCAAGCAATTCATTATAAATTACCTCCTTTTATACCAGCGTCGTCTTTCACTGCCATTTCATTGGATAATTTGTAGCATGGAAAATGTCTCGAGTCAGTTTCAGGCCCATTCTAAATCTAATAAGCCACCAGGCTGAGCAGAGATTTTTCCGCTTCCACCTTTTCTCCATCAATCAGAACAGTTTAACGCTGAGTTAAAGAGGCCACAAAACGTCCTCCTTAAACTGATTTAAACTGGTTGGTCTGGGCCTTTGGAAAGTGATGTGTGTATTTAACTTTATGAGAAATTGCAAGCTTGGCAGGTCAAGCTCATCGCCCCTATCTGTCAAAGTCTCGATGAAGCACCACTTCAACCAAAGCTCATTAATCAGGCTCATTAGGCAGTTCACCCAAAAATGAAAATCCATTACATACTCACCAACCTAAAAGGATTTGATGTTGGTAGAGACAAAAATATTAGATTTTTTGAAAATTATTAAAGGGGTCATATGATGCGATTTCAAGTTTTCCTTTCTCTTTGGAGTGTTACAATCTGATTGTGCATAGATAAGATCCCTGAAGTTGCAAAGACTAAAGTCTCAAAACCAAAGAGATATTCTTTATCAAAGTTAAGACTCTGCCACGCCCCCCTAAAACAGCTCGTTCTAACACGCCCCCACATATCTACCTCACTATGTGGAAATGTTTGCATAACGCCGCCCAAATGTTCATGCAAAGAAAGAAGGCGTGGTTTCAGTAACCGCAGTTAGTGTTGAAGCAGCCATGTCAGGGAGACGCTGTGTTTTTCTAGGCGAAAGCAAAAGCACTTTATTTGGCCTTCCGAAAGTAGATGCATTTAGGAATCTTTAAGATCACTTACTACAGAACAGCAATGCATTTTATGGATGACCGTTTCGTGAACCTAGGAGAGGAGGTAATTCTGACTTTGCTATGACAATCTGGCGCTTCTGAATCAGCGACTGTAAGTATGTTTTGTTACTAGTTTAAGTATTTGCTATTGACTGTTCAAATGCGGAGTTTTGCGCATCGTGTGTGTGTGTGTGTGTGTGTGTGTGTGTGTGTGTGTGTGTGTGTGTGTGTGTGTGTGTGTGTGTGTGTGTGTGTGTGTGTGTGTGTGTGTGTGTGTGTGTGTGTGTGTGTGTGTGTGTGTGTGTGTGTGTGTGTGTGTGTGTGTGTGTGTGTGTGTGTGTGTGTGTGTGTGTGTGTGTGTGTGTGTGTGTGTGTGTGTGTGTGTGTGTGTGTGTGTGTGTGTGTGTGTGTGTGTGTGTGTGTGTGTGTGTGTGTGTGTGTGTGTGTGTGTGTGTGTGTGTGTGTGTGTGTGTGTGTGTGTGTGTGTGTGTGTGTGTGTGTGTATTTGTATAATGTCATGGGTAACTTATGTATTA